TTAGATAATTTCTCTTAATTATTTGGCCAAGTATCACATAACTAGTTAGTTTAAATTCTCAAATTACTTTCTTAATATAAGTATATAATGCTTTCTCATATGTTTTAATATCTCCATCAGACCAAAATATTTTTAATTGTTCTTCTAATTTTGATATTTATTGAATATCATTGATTGCATCTTCAATAGTAGTCTTTTAAATTAATCTCTTATATATCTAAGCATCATTATAAGGAGGAGTTTAGTATTAATTAAAATTAAATTTTTTTAAATTTTTGATATCCTAATTTTGATTGCTAATGAATATAAATAATTAATACTTCACATCAATTTATTTAGTTTTGATCCATTGTCTTAATTATTTATGATAAGTGTAAACACAATAATCCTTAAATAGAAATTCAACTAATGGATATCCTTCAGTATCAATTTTAAGATTTGCTTTTATTAATGGATCAATGCTTTATTTACCTTTCTTTTCATCTTCATTTAATAATTATTTTTTATCCATCCATTCATAAACATGTTACATTAGTATTTTGATATCTCCTTCATAAGAAATAGTTTTAGAATTTAAATTGATTACTTTAAATTCTCCAGTATTTTGAAGACATAAGATATGATTTTTGGGACTAAGAACAATCTAACTTAAGAATGGCAAGATAAATGGGGATTCTTATCTAATACCTTTATGATTCTCAATATAAAGTAAAGCTTAATCAGTGTAAATGATTATGAGTTCATCATTATATTGAATAGTCTTTACTTAACCTTCTACATAATCAATCCATTTTGGTGTATTATTTTCAATACATCTTATTAAAGTTCCATAGACAGCCTAATTGAATATCCTTTACTATTATTTTTGAACTTCCATTAAGAGTGTTTTGTTATTCATTTAAAAAGAATAGCTTTTAGGTAATACTTCATATTATTATATAACCAATAATGGTTATTGCTATTCAACCTTTTTTATAACAGGTTCAGAAGAATTCACATCTAAAGGAATTAATTTTTTTTTGCCATCTACAATAACCTACTTAAATTATGTTTATGTTTGTTTAGGAATTTCTCTTTATTATATTGTACTATCAGGTATTTGATTTTTTAATTCATCTTATACATCAATTTTTTCTATCTACATATCTGTAAATTTTTCATTATTAATTTTTGGTTAATAAAATCGAATTTATTTAATAGTATTTTTAAGATCACCATATAAACTTTTAATTGCTTACTATTTCTCATTTTCACTTAATACTTAACCCAAACTCAATTAAAAATCTATAACAATTATATATTTTTTAGAAGTTGTAGCCATTAAAACTGTTCCTTATTGATTCCATGTAATATCTTCTATTAATTCTCCAGCTTTTTTATGACCCTTAACCAAAAGAAATGGTTATTCATCAATTTAATTCTCATTTATTTACCATAAACTTATATTACCATCATTGTCACCAATAGCAAATACACTAAAATATTCATTAGAATTAGAATTCTTAAATAACATTGGTGAAAATCGAACAACATTTATTGATGAGAATGGACCAACAATTGTTCTAACAACCTAAAAATTCTAATTTCTATCTAAGATTGCTACTGTTGGTATTGTCTAAGTATTATAAAATCATTACTTTATCATCTAAATTTGGTACTGCCAAATATCTACAATCTACACTCCAATCCAGTTTCCTGTCTTCTCTTTTTGTTGTACATTATTTTCCTTGTATTTGGAGGGAAATTGTGATTTCTTGTTTCCAATTATCAATTTTATAAAAATTAACCTTATATATATAATATTTGAATACTGTGTTATCAAATTTCAAGGAAACTATATATTTGTCAAAGGGATCCCAACATATACCTACTGTTTTTTAACCACAATCTATTTTATGTTGTATACCATCTTATTTGATATGATAAATAAAGATATTTCCATCTAATGACGCAGTGGCTATTCTTTAATCATCAGGAGACCAACATAATGCAGTTATCTCCAATTTATGTCCTTAATAGGTTCGATATATAGACAAATTGCCGCCATTGAATTACCAAATAATTAATTTATCATTGCTTGTTGCTAAATATAGTCCAGATGGAGACCATGCTAATTGAGAAATCATTCTCTTTTCCATTTTACCAATTTATATAGGATGCAAATTAAATTATGCATCCACTTCATTTAATAGTAGCCAATCTTCTTCTTCACCACTTCCTAATGCTAATATATTCTTTTTTGATAAACTCAACGATTTCAATCCAGTCGTAGCTTCAATTATGCTAGTGTATTTGATTCTTACAGACATATTATTATTTATAATAAATCAATTGATAATTTGTTTCTAATTCTTTTTCATCAATTACTATACAACTGAAGAATGGAAGAATCGATCAGCAAACGAATTCATCACTTATGGTGATTATTATTGTTTATTGAAGTGAGGTTAATAACCTTCAAAACTTTTCATCTCTATATTTCGAGGACTGATTATTGATTAATTCTCCATCCAATTCTATGGCAACGAGAATTGAGTCTTATGAGTAGTTTCACGAACTAAAGATTGAGTTTCTACAGGAAATGGTCCACTATTTAATATATATATTTATTAAATACAGAGGTTTAGGTATAATTGGATCTTGTTTCTCATATTTCTGAGTTACAAAATTACGAGAATAATTAGTCTCAGCAATAAATGGTAATTTTTTATCACTTTATACATAAAATGGTCCAATTATACCATGATATTACTTTTTCCAATCTCTAAAATTAGCTGTGTATGATGATAAACATGACATTGTATTTTAATTAGGTAGATGATCAGGTTTAAAATTATCTGACTTCTCAAATCTTTGAGGGACAAAATGTTACTTAAATATAATTGAAGATTTTGTACATTATATGTACTTGAATTCTACATAAATGCTGCTGATTATTTTGCTCTCTCATATATCCATCGGTTAATGTATGTAGAATCTTTCATAAATTTATCATTGTAATCATCAGTGTATTATGTACTGTATTTACCTTTACATCCAAGTTTCTTATTTTTTAAGGATTTGATTTCCATCTCCTACAAATACAACACTTATTATATCATATTTAATACTTAATAAATCAGAAAAGTAATCTTAATTCTATACTATAACATCTTCTATACTTTAATCACCAACTTAGAGATCTCTCCAAAGTTAATGATCAGGAGGGAATATTTCTTAGATATTCATGATAAGATCACCCAAATTAGTTTTAGATGATTGTTCTGATATCACTTACTCTTTCTTTTATAGAGATGGTAATGTTATCGGTTTCTTCTCTTCAATCATTATCTTATCTCCTGTACGTTATTATTCTGTCTCTATTTTCTAGGATTAATAATATAGTTTCTGAATGTCTGGACTTACATGTGAAGATAATAATTGATTCTTCAATTTTACAACTCTTCTCTTTTTAGGTTTCAATTCATTTGTACCATTGCTCTTATTACTTTATTCAGTGAACTCTGATCGGGATAATTTTTATTTATCACTTACTCTTTAGAAATCATTTGATGTTAAGATCTTTTGGATTTTATCATCAATAATCATCTAATTTAATTTATATATATGTATTTACAATTATACAATACTATATTTATAGAATAATAAAATATAATATATAATTATATACAATACTTTTTTATTCATTAATTAAGTATATATCTAAAGATTCATTGTTTTGATATAATAATCAATCAATATATAATAATAATGTCAAAATAAATATAATTATTGTATTATTTAATTCTCTAATTTTGCAGATGACAGATTTAAGAAAGCGATCTCTTTCATTGTAAAACAATGATATACTTTGTGCTGATTTTTATTCAAAATCTGAATGTTCTCCTGATAAACTCAAAAGAAAATCACAAAGATCATAATAAGCAATCATTATAACTTCACCTGTAAGTATTCTGTTTGTATTTAAGACAAAAATAGTAGAAAAGAATAATTCTAATTTATTTGAAATTTATATAGATGGAAACTAGACAGTCAAAGAAGGATGGTTGTATTAGAGTAAAAAAGTTTATATTGAACTTACAAGATAATCAATAATTGAATATAATGATGAATAAAAAACATAATTGATTAAAATTGTGTCTTTAAAAGAGTTTGAATACAATATCTAATAAGATAAATAGATCATTAAATTATAGTTTCCTCATTTACATTAAATAATTACATACTAAGCTAAAGATGCTGTTGAAGCTAAGATGTGGGTTGGATGTTTAAATATTGTATTAGATAAACACAGAAATCATCCAAAAAATAAATTATAATTATAAGAAGTACCAAGATATTTTGGAGTTAATGTGATTTCAGAAGAGTATTTTTTGAAAATTGTAGAATCTGGAGATCTTCTTCTTTTTGAAACCAATAATACAGGAGCCAAATTATAAAGAGTATTTACAAATACTAAATATGATCATGTGGCAATTGCTATTAAAATGGCTAATAAATATCTATTTGTATTTGATGCCAATGCAGATACAGGAGTTACATTTATGGAATGGTCATAATTTATTGAAATTAATGATCTTTATGAAAAGTAATCGAAAGTTTACAAATTTTAGACTAGCAATCAGAAAACTTATGAATGTTGATAGAATAGAAATTGAAAAGAAAATGATTGAATTTTTACAATAAGTTCATGGAAAGAAATATGAAGTTACTTTCAGTAAACTCTTTAGATAAAAGAGTTTAAGTCCATCTAAATCTAATGAAAGTTTTTTTTGTTCAGAATTAGTAGCTAAAGCATTTAAATATTGTGGATTGTTAGAATCAGATAAAGCAAGCAGTTCATTCTTACCTGTTTAATTTACTAAACAACTTAAATTAACTAATCAAATATAGATTACTGATGACATTGTTGTAATACTCAAAAAACATTTAACTAAATGAACTAAGTTTTTCATTTCTTTTTTTTTGATTATTATCATACATATTATATATATATTCATTCAATAAATCTCTGCTTGATTTCCTTATTTTTTGGAGGTGTTTAATAATCTAAATGATTAAAAATATATTATACGGTTTTGAATAAAAGTTTTTAGTATTTGATTATTATTATTAATTATTTGTACTACCAATTTAATATGACTGTTAAATGTCCTATTATTATCGTTATGTATTTTATTATTCATCCGTTTATAATCTTATTTATCTCTTTTTACTTGTGCCTTATAATGATGAAGCATATGAAGGTATGTAACCACAATCTAAATCTTCTTCTAGATTATTTGTAACTTAATTAAAGTTGAAATTTGGTTTAGTTTGATGATTTAGTAAATTTTAATTATTCTCTTACTTACCAAATATCTTATTTGCTTTTGCTGGAGTCTACTAAGGACTAATTAAGTATTTAGTATCATCTTTCAATTCCAGCTCTTTTGGCAAATATTTGAATGGTTAAGATAACCAATTAGATTGCAGAATCTCAACTGCAGTTATTCTTTAGTGTGGATCTTCTTCAAGCATACTTTTAATTAGATTTAATGGTTGCATAGGTATTAGTTTTTAATGTTAATTCAAATTGAGATTTTAAATTTGATAAAGTTAATCTATTTCTGTAGTACCAGGTATTAAAGGATTCAATAAATATAATTCTGCAAGAATGCAACCCAAAGCCCAAATATCTACTTCTTGATTGTATTATTCTTACTTGATTTATTCCGGAGACTAAATCAATGATAATTATATCTTACCCGATACCATCTAGTCGAAACATAATCAGTGTGTTATTCATTTTAATATGTAACTTATCCAAAATCTATTAATTTGACTATTCCATTATCTTAAATCATAATATTTTCTGGTTTTAAATCCCTATTATTAATTAATTGTCATACCTATGTAAATATCCTTGACTATGCAAATAATTTAAGGCACTTGCAATTTAATACACAATACTTTGAATCTGCTATTCACAAAGAGTTCTATTCTTTTCCTTAACAGATTTATAATATTATAAAAGGTTTCTTTCTGAATAATCAAGTACAATAGCTATTGTTTTATTTTATTTGATGACATCTCTCAATTTTATAATATTTGGATGATTAAGTTTTTTAAGAATTTGGATTTCCTTAATTTTTGATTCATCTTTAATCGAATTGTCTCTATAAGATTTAATGGCTACAAATTCATGAGTTCTTTCATCAAGTGCTTTTGTAACACTGCCAAAAACACCATCTCCTAGTTTTTAGATTATTTTATACATTTTTAATAATTAAATAGTAAGTAAATAAATTTATATAATTTAAATATTATATCTATTATATTTGATATATAAACTAAATTAGATATTATTAACTATTATAAATAGAATAATTTTTTAAGAAAAATATAAATAGTAACAATAAACATTGTTATTATTACTATAATTTAGCTCTATCCTATTAAAATATATTATTCAAGGTTTCTTGTTTTTGTAAAACGATTTAATTGTTTGAATGTTAGGAAATTCATTTAAGGACTATTCATCCTCTTCCTTCATTTATTAAACTGTCGATATCTTATTAATACTTCTCCATAATTAATCAGTTATTTACCCTTTTTATTATTATTTACTTGTCCAAAATTCATTTGCATATTCTTTAAATCCATCATTCATATCATTATAAGGTTTTAATTTACAATCTTATGTACACCAATCAAAACAGTAAGGTCCTAATTTAATTAATATTTACTAGATTTATTAAATCCTTCTTTACATAATTCTTTCATCTTTGTATAATTAGGTTATTCATCAAATCTTAATCCTTTTGAATGATCATAAATTTGTTTTAATACTGTAGGAATATTAATTTCTAATTAACCTATGGCCAATTTCTATTTTGCCTCTAATATTTTTAAAAACTTCTCTTATCTAGTTTAACAAGACAAATTTTGCCATGGTAGCTATCCATTATATAAATACATAAGAACATAACACATTGCTTCTAAATCATCTCTTCTACTCTATTCTGAACCTAAATGTGAATTTATGCTTGTATATCTTGCAGTTCCTACCATTCCCTTATTCTCTGCTTTAGGAATATGCATTCCTAATTTTTACTTTAAAAATACCTTATGCATCCATATATGGTTTTGCTAATCCAAAATCTATTAAATAAACATTATGGTGATCTCCACAACTACCTACTAAGAAATTCTCAGGTTTGATGTCTCTATGTATAAATTTTCTTTCTTGAACTGATTCTATTGCACTAATTATACAATAAGCCAATCTAATTATACAAGTTTCTGAGAACTTCTCATGCAGTTACTTTTTACGCAACTCTTCCAAATTCCCTTCAAATTTAATACACATATACCTGAACCATAATATGGCATCATAATTAATTTGTATTCTTGCTATTAAACTAATTAATAAGGTTCAGGAATATATTGTATTCCTTTCAATTATACTAATGTATTATATTCTTTAACTAATAATGATTATTGATTTTATTGTAGTGTGTCTTTAAATTCTACTTTACAAGCATGTAAAGTTTTTGTGATTGTGTTATAAATTTTATAAATTTCACCGAAACTGCCTTATCCAGCTTTTTCAACTAATATAAATTCTGCTGGTAACTCAATTTCAGGACTAATAACCTTTTTAAATGGGTACTCACTTTACAATCTTATAATTGGTAAAGTTGTTTACATTATTTTAAATAATATTAAAATATAGGGTCATAATTATAAATAAATTTAAATTTTAAATTTCTAAATTACCTACATAGATTATTAGATGACAACAATTATAAATAATAATTAATGAACAATTAATTACTAAGTTCAATGAAGAAATATTATTAAATTTTAATCAATGAAAATTTGATACTATTTGATTAAATTTTAATTCAGTACTAATAATATAAAATAGATAATATCATTCTAGTATATGATATTATCTTTTTTAAGTTATTAGTACTGAATTAATACAATTATCAACAAAGTTATTTTAATTTTTTCTCATATAATATGAATTATTATAGATTAATAATTAATTTTATATATTATGATTTTATTATATTAATAATTTAACATAATGAATTTAAAAACTAGTAGAGATTGTTGTGTTTAAACTGAATTGGATTTAATGGAAATAGAATTGTTTGAGAATATTTATCCAAAAATGATTTCCTAGAATTTATTATCTGGAAGTATAAACTCAAAAAATTAATATTAAAAAATTGATCAGAGGAATAATTTTAATTCTTTTTAATTAAGAAAGGTTGATACTATAGAATAAAATTTGAATAAATAAAGAGAAAAGAAATAGATTTATAATAATAATAAATAAATTTATAATTAGTATGATTCAAAATTTATTAGAAAAAAGCAACTCATACCTAAATCATTCCATATTGAAACACTTAATAATATTGCAACACCTTAATAAATCATTTTACCATAAAAATAGTAATTCCCTCTTCTTCATGGATTAAAGAGAAAGTTGAATTATCCAACAATTAGTAATAGATTAAAAACATGTCCTGATGATAACAAATTTAGTGATAGGATTTTATACAAAAATATAATACCAGAGAAAATTAAACATTTTGATGGAATTAAAACTTTAAAGTGATTTAATTATATTTTAATATGAATATATTCATTCTAAAGTTTAGATTGATTCGATACTATCTCTAGATGACACTTGATTATAATAAATATAATTTACATTCATTAGAAATAAGATTTGATAGTATAGATGATGTTTTTTCTTATTATTTTAATATTTAATTAAATGCATCTAAAGTATTTTTTACTTAATTAGCAATTTTTAAAATTGATTAAATTTTACTTTAATTAACTTAAACAAACTTTTTATTTGTAAATGTTCTTTCTTGATCTATAGTTAATTTGTATGGATCAGTAGTAGTATGAAATGTTTTTGTTTACTCTAAAAATGTTTTGATTTTGTTAAATTTTGGATCTGCACTTTTATTATTGGATTATGAAGTATTTGCAACGTTTCCTTAACTACCAGAACGAAGAAGGAGACTACTTTATCCATTTATTGATTATTAAAGCATTTTAAATATATGTTATGAGGCATAACATAATTCTGGGGAATCTCTTGGCTCATTTAATTTATTTTCATAACTCTTATTGATTAGAGTTTGTAATAAGGCTTATTGAGAATGTATACTTTTGTCACTCAATTTGATTCGGACATCTAAATCTCCTAAGTAGAGACACTGATAATACTTGAGTCTCTATAAGTTTTAGAACCATTAATATTTCTTTGGGCAAGATAGTTTTTAAATATATCATTTTATGTTTTGTTTATTCTTGGAACCATTTATTTGTTGTTGTCTTTAGTTTTAATGGATTATAATTTTTAGATTTGACTTTTATGCATGAGTAGATCTTTAACACTGATTTGGAATTGGCTTTTAGAATGATCACTATAGAATTTGGAAACATCAGTTTTATTCTTTGGAATGGGATACTTACTTTAATTATCACTAATTTGATTTCCTATCTTATCATACCTATAGTATGTACTTTTCTTTTAATTTTCTAACTAAGCATTCTAAAGCTTTACTGGCTATATCTATCTATATCAGTCTTATAGTTTGATAATATTTTGGAGATCCTGTCCTATTTGACTATTGATCTATTTGTTAATATTTAATTTTGCATAATAAATTTAATATATATATATTTGATTCATTAACTATTAACTAGAGATTTTTTATTTTATTTCTATTTATATACTTCCATATTATCTAATTCCACTTGAGTCATATCGAATGGCAGTGTAGCAGATAAAATAGCAAGAACAATCATAGAACTAGCATATAAATAAAAAGGAGAATAGGGATTATCAGAATATAATTAATCTATTATTATTTAATTACTATACATAGGATAAATAAAATAAGGTGATATGACACCCATAAATTTACCAACTGTCTGAGTCATTCCTACTCCCATTGAACGACATTAAGTTGTATAATTTTCATTCATTATTACCATTTCTGCTGTAAACATCACTTTAAGTAAAAAAGAAATTAATGTTAATCCATAAACAAGAAAAGAATCTTCAAAAATAATTAATATAACACTTGTTACAAATATCATTACTGATAAAAGTAATACTAATTTAGATCGACCTCCTGCTTTTTTACTATCAATTACAAAATATACAACTATCCCAGCCATTAATTCAGCAAGCATCATATACATTTAAGCCATAAATCCCTTCTGAGAATCTCCTAACCAAAAAGACATTAAATAATATAATGTTGTTTCAATAATTGAAGTCAACATAAAAACAATCCAAATTCTTATAGTAAAATTAATATATTATCTTGAAAATAAATACTTTACAGTCTTAATAGGTTCTTATTCTTAATTTATTTATTATTATAATATCCCCTATTTTTATTCATCTGTTAATTAATATGATGTTCCATTATTTACCTTACCTATATATTCTAATTCCAAGAAACTTTAATCGTAATTCTATTTTGTAAAGTAATATCGAGGAGACTCTCATAAATATACTAGTGAACATATAAAACATAATAAAAGTGGAATACTATTAAAAATTAATAACATTCTCCAATGACCTGATTTGTAATCTTCTAAAAATATCATCTACAATCCTGTACAATATATCTTTCCAACAATAAAAACAGTTGCAACAATTGTCATTACTTAACCTCTGATTTTAGCTGGCACAATTTCACTTATGACAACATGTCCCAAAGGAATAGTTGTACCAAAGATTACACCAAAGAAAAATCTTAAAATGAGAATTTCTTCAAAACTTTATGCAAAACTATGCCATAAAAGTAATAGAAATGCTAATAGACTAGAATAGAGTAAGGTTTTTGCTCTACCAATTTGATCAGCATAGAATGCACAAAATAAGGTACCACTAACAATTCCTATAAAATATGAACTTGTCATCAATGAAATATCAAGATCATTTAAANATACATAGGATAAATAAAATAAGGTGATATGACACCCATAAATTTACCAACTGTCTGAGTCATTCCTACTCCCATTGAACGACATTAAGTTGTATAATTTTCATTCATTATTACCATTTCTGCTGTAAACATCACTTTAAGTAAAAAAGAAATTAATGTTAATCCATAAACAAGAAAAGAATCTTCAAAAATAATTAATATAACACTTGTTACAAATATCATTACTGATAAAAGTAATACTAATTTAGATCGACCTCCTGCTTTTTTACTATCAATTACAAAATATACAACTATCCCAGCCATTAATTCAGCAAGCATCATATACATTTAAGCCATAAATCCCTTCTGAGAATCTCCTAACCAAAAAGACATTAAATAATATAATGTTGTTTCAATAATTGAAGTCAACATAAAAACAATCCAAATTCTTATAGTAAAATTAATATATTATCTTGAAAATAAATACTTTACAGTCTTAATAGGTTCTTATTCTTAATTTATTTATTATTATAATATCCCCTATTTTTATTCATCTGTTAATTAATATGATGTTCCATTATTTACCTTACCTATATATTCTAATTCCAAGAAACTTTAATCGTAATTCTATTTTGTAAAGTAATATCGAGGAGACTCTCATAAATATACTAGTGAACATATAAAACATAATAAAAGTGGAATACTATTAAAAATTAATAACATTCTCCAATGACCTGATTTGTAATCTTCTAAAAATATCATCTACAATCCTGTACAATATATCTTTCCAACAATAAAAACAGTTGCAACAATTGTCATTACTTAACCTCTGATTTTAGCTGGCACAATTTCACTTATGACAACATGTCCCAAAGGAATAGTTGTACCAAAGATTACACCAAAGAAAAATCTTAAAATGAGAATTTCTTCAAAACTTTATGCAAAACTATGCCATAAAAGTAATAGAAATGCTAATAGACTAGAATAGAGTAAGGTTTTTGCTCTACCAATTTGATCAGCATAGAATGCACAAAATAAGGTACCACTAACAATTCCTATAAAATATGAACTTGTCATCAATGAAATATCAAGATCATTTAAATTCCATTATGTTTTTAATATTGACTGCAGAGTACCAATCAAGGTTTTCTCAATTCCATCTGCAAAATCTATCATAGAGATTATCAAAGAACAATATATTAAAATCTACCCATTTTAACACTATTCTCTATAACATGATCAAGCGTATTCATTAAAATAATTAATTTTATATGTTGAATCAATACAATACACCTCCAAGAATACCTAAACCTTCCCCTGTTCCTTAAAATTAAGAATAATACTTGCATGTTGTACTTCATGAAAGATAAATTCAATAATAATAGCGATATTATACTCCTCCATTAATCAAACCTCCTTCATTATAAACTATTTCCACTTAACTTAATTCTCCCATATCCAATTAACCAAAACAGCAACAATATAGTGTCATATAATAAGTCAATCAAAATGATATGTAAAACCAATATCATCAAATCATGCAATATTACAAAGAGTTAGAAATGAATATGCAATAATAAAAATAAGAAAATTATCTGAAATATAATGAAATTCTATAAAAAATTGATAACATCTAATAAATTATGGTTTATAATATTAATTAATTGAATATTAATCAAAGAAATGAATATCAATAATTGTTACATGAATTATAATAATAAAGATTAGAAAACTAGAAAAGATATGAATTATTGATCCAAAATATCGAATAATAAAAAGATTAGAATCATTATATGAATTAATAGTAATAAAAAGAAATATTAATCCAATAATAACATTAAATAGTTGAGCAATAAAAACCAAATTTATCAAACTAATATAATAATATAATTAAACCTCCTTAACCTATTTATTAAAATCGCGCTTCAAAAACTATCTATTAAGAACAAAAATTAATTCCAATAGAATAACACCAATAAAATTAACTCAACTACTCTCAAATTCACAACAGATCTAGTAAGTAGTCTTCTCCTCAAGTTTATATGTCAAAAAGAAATTAATCCTAAGATAATAATACTTTTGGAATTAATTCTGGCCAGCTTAATCCATTTATTTAATAATCTCCATCATAAATCAATCCTCCAGAATAATATTAATCTCCCTCTAATAAATAAATCATTAATAATTAAATGTCAAATCAAATTATTTTATAAACCAAATCTCCAAGGCAATAAATATCCCCTTGTATTTGTATGAATAGTCCAAACAATATTAGCAGAGATAATTCAATTTCACATTAAAAAAAATAAATATTTGAAAAGCCAATTTTTGAATAAGTTAATAATCAATCAACATTAAATTATAATCCAAAAATAAATAATCAAGAAAATCCAGTAATATAATAATATTAAGTACAATAACCATTTAATTCTAATGAAAGCATAATTATTGACGAATCTAATAATTCATCGGAATTATTATAATAATTAAAATTAGAATATGGAATTAATAGCTTGCCTTAAAATACTTCTTTGTAGCCAATTTCTAATTAATTATAATTAATTTATTGTTTGTAGTGTGATCAATACATATCCATTTAATAGTCTGATTAACACCTTTAAGTTTGTAATTCTTAAAGACCTTAAAAAAGATAAAATGATAACTATTTAGATAAATACATTATATAAATGGGGGATAATTTCATAATTGAAACATTTGAAGCCAAATACATAAGAATATGCAAAGAAATCATGATAATTAAATAAATGATGCAATTGGCTTAATTACAAAAGTGGACAACATATGAATATTTATAATTGCGAGAGCTTTGTTAAATAGCAAATATAATACTGGATAGATTGTTGTAAAATCCAGACTCTTCTTCAATAATAAAATATTATCAACATATTCAATAAATTTTTAATGTTGTTTATATGGCACCATAAATCTTTTATAAACAATAAGCAAAATTATTGTAAAAATGCTTAGATCGTATAAAAGAATTATAATAGCTTTTTAAAAAATGACTAAATGTTTTTATCATTATATTCTTATTTAATATTTTTATTACTTCTATTTATAGTATATTAACTCATAAGTTAAATCCAAGATCAGAAATTCAAAATATTTAATATGATCAGACATTTTTTATTAGAAAATTTGATAACTCTATGCATTTATATATATATAAATTTTGAGATCAATATTAATTTTTATTAGAGTCTGAATCTGAAATTACATAAATACAAGTATGTTGTCAGCTATTTTGTATTGATTATCGAATTATTTTATTTAAAAAAACCGTATTTTTAATAAATAATAAGTAAAAAGGTTTTTCTTATAAATTTATTTATGAAACACAATAAATTTGTGTATTTATTCTTAAGAAATAGAATAAAATCATTTTTTAGAATTGCCTTATAAAAATGAAATTAGTCTTTGAATTTTTATTCAAAATACTTTTTATAAATTTAATTGCAAATTAACCGTATGAACAATAAACTGAATAAATACTAAAATAACTAGATTATAAATTCAAAGTTAAAATAATTATGTCATAAAATTCTAACTCATCCACATCATAACGTAAACCATGGACACCTGATGAAGACAGGTTGCTGGCTGAACTTAAAAAAAACAAAGACTATGATTGGATTGAAGTTGCAAGGAGAATTGAGGGTCGTAATCCATCTTAATGTTCTTAAAGATGGAAGCGTATCAAAGGATTCAAACTACGAAGAACATGGACAACAGAAGAAGATGAGAAATTGTTAGAATTAATAAATGTTCACAATTTTAATTGGTGTTTAATAAGTACTTTTTTTAAAAACAGATCTGGAAAACAGGTTAGAGAACATTATCTTAATCAATTGGATCCATAAATTAACACTTCCCCTTGGAGTATTGAAGAGGATAAAAAGATTGTTGAACTTTATCAATCAATAGGAGGAAAGTGGAGTGTAATTACTAAATAACTTAACTCAAGATCAGAGAATAGTGTTAAAAATCGTTTCTATTCATGTCTTAGACACAAATATCTAAACATTAAAAATCCATATTATATTGTGCCTGAGAAAAAATAAAAGTTGAATGAAGAAGATAGCTATTAGAATTAAAATTTTTAAGAGCAATAAAATATCACTGAAATTCAATAACCATATTAACACACTTAAGTTTAATAAGCGCTTACTTATGTTCATCTTTATGAAAATTATCTCTATTAAGTTCCAATATATATGCCTTAACCTATATTAGTGCCAGTATATATTTATCCATCATAATTTCAATTCAATAATCAATGATGATTATTTTTATATTTTAATATTCAGGTATATAGCTTCTATAATTATCTAAATGATCATCATCTTCTTATCTAATAGAAAATAAATCAAACAAATTTTATATACTTTATTAATATTTTTAATGAAATAAATCAAACTAATTGACAATTTATAAGCATTTACCATTGATTATAAAATTACAGTCAGGCATGCACTCTTCCTCTCATATGGAATGTATTTGACTTACTAATATTATTCCTAAATGAGAACATGTGAGGATTAAATTAGAGATGTATAATCACTTTATGTTATCAAAGGAATTACTCAATTAAAAATCATAAATACAATAATAATATCAACAATTATACAGTAAATCTTATGAAGGAATACTTGATTGTACCTTAGACAAAGGAGACTGGATATTTTCAACTGAAAATCCTAAAATTGATGAATATTTTAATCAGAAACTCTCTTTGAACTATCAATATCAGACAATCATGCCTCTTTATTTGTGCGCAGGCATTGGTTTTCCATCTTTGGCAATTCTATGTTCCTATCTTCAAAATAGAGACAATAGATTTATCTATGGACTAGCTGCTGCAGCACTTTTTAGTGGCATCAAACTAATTATTAAAGTGTGAGTTTTTATTTTTATTATATATAATAATTAAGACATCATAGTTATTACTATACACTATATATATAAATATTTACAGGACATAAAGAAATAAAAATAGAAAATATTATATTAGAATTTACCCTTAGAAAATTGATTATCCTTTAAAAGGAATAATTAGTTGCTTTTTAATATAATATCATGATATTCTCAGTTGTTTAAAGGTGTATCTAACTTTGATATTATTGTTAAACTATAATCGAATTTTAGGAAGACGCTGAGTATCATAAAAAAATAGAAATTCAATTAACTTAATCTTATTCATAATAAGTAATTACAGAATGTTAGTCGAGTATTATGTATTACTTGTTCTTGGGATTTAGTTGATAATCAAATACTATTTACAAATTTTTAAGATAGATTGTGAATACGATTATTAATTAAAATCATTTAAGCTATGTCTTTTGATTCCTATATAATTTATATCCATAATGTATATTCGAAAATAACGAGGGAAACTTAATATCTCAAAACAAAAATAACTCCAAATTATAATTTTTATTATTATTAATTATCAAATAACAATAATATCAGTTTATGAAAATATACATAAAAATTAAATCCCTCAATATCTCTCTTAGAAATCTAAGACTAATTTAAATGGATTGTATAATTAAATAATCATAATTTAATAATAAGATTCTTCAATATATAGTTGAGTTTCCACCTTTTAATCTTTCTGCCATATGGATTGTTGATTCTTTTTGAATATTGTAATCTTCCACTTTCTTTTGATCATCTAAAATCTTTCCTCCAAATATCAATCTTTGTTATTGCGGTGGAATTCCACATCTTTCATAGATGGTCTTCTTAAGTTCTTTAATAGTTTAATTGTATTCTGCAGATACTGTGATTGTTTTCCCTGCCAATGTTTTGATAAAAACTTAACCCCCTCCTTTTAATCTTAATAATAATTATAAAATTGTATTGTTTGTAATCCCAATTTAAGAAAGTGTTTTATTATCATCTAATTCAGATTCTTAAAATATTATCCTTTATTAATTAAAAGGTATGCCTTCTTATTCTTGTATTTTAAGCTTAACTAATCTTATATTATCTGATTGCTCAAAAGGGAGGGTAATAGTTTTTCCTGTAATAGTTGATATTAAAAGCTGCATTTGATTTTCTATTAAATATATAATAAATAATAATGTTATATATTCTAAACTTTAGATTAATCCATTTAAGTTAAATAGAAATACTTTATAATACTTGATTGACTTTTAATATTTAATATTTCTATCATGAATTTTGTAATAATAATTTATAGTGTTTCGTTATATTATTTGTATTTAAATCTATGTTTGAACCGGGGAATAGCAATAGCGATATTTTGTTCAAGAAATCGCTCAGATCAGGAAACAAATCAGCTAAACTTACAAAGAAGAATTCTTAATATCATGATAGTGATATGATTACTAAATAAATGTCTTAGATAGTATTTGAAATGTAAAATAAGAATAATTCATTTGATCTTGCAATACAACTACTCACAGAAGAATCAAGTATTTTAAGATAACATTTGTCATTCTAAGTGTTTATTCCTGAAATAAAAACACAATTAGGTGAGAAACTATTAAAAGATAATAACTTATGGATCATTATTTTAGTTGTGTTTCACTCTTTATGTAAAGAAAAATCTAAATACTATGATTTCGTATAAAGAAACATCCTAAATACAATGTAAAAAAACTATCAAGATGATTACATAGTGAAATCTATTCAATAATAGGCAAATTAGATTATTTCAAAATCTGAACAAGAATAATAACAATTAATAAATTAATCTGCATCTAAATGTTCCAGAAAATAACTTAGAGTTTAATTTTAAGAAGATAAAGAGAATTAATAGAGTAATAGTAACAAAAAAAAATTCTAAGTTTTGAATTTAATTGAGCCTAGTAAAGAATAAGAAAATACATTATCTAATGATAAATTGAAAAAAAAAATTGACGATTTGACAAAGTCCTTTTAATAATTAAATAATGATTCTTTTGAAAATTAAGAAATGGTTGTGCCTTAAGTTGAACAAATTATTAATGAATAAGTTAAAGAATTAGAAGAAGAACTAAAAAATTAACATGATTAATCAAATAAAAAGCAAAGATTATCGCTAACTGAAAAACTCTTCTCTCGTTTAGGTTTTAAAGCCTGGAGAAGTGAATAAAAATAAATAAAACCAAATCCAATATAAACAAAAATGAGAGGTATTAGATTATTAGATGGATTGGATTCAAGAGAGCTCCAAACAAGTTATGTGGCAAAAGTGGAGAAGATTTTAGTCCCGAATCTAAATGATAACGGATTGCATTCAATAGTCTAAGTAATTTTTATTATTTTATATATTAAGTTATCTGCAAATAACTCATAAGAATTATTAGAATGGGGACTTTATGCTATCATATAATTAAGCGATTAAGACTGCACTAGCAAACAATATTTTGAAGATATGCAATATTATAAATAATTGGTTGCTTTTAAATTTAGATAGGAAAAACAAATATATATTCCTTTTGGTAAATATGAATTAATAATGTGATTTTTATACTTAAATTAAAGATGTATTAATATTATTTCGAACCATTATGAATGATATAAAAATATAAAATCAGCCGAAGGAAAGCAAAATGATAATCATGAAAATCATTTTTTGAAGATATACATCATCAAAATAGTGGATTCTTATCTGAAATAAATAAGTAAATTTATTGATACATATTTTATGGGTTAAAAATTTTATAATATGAAAAATATTAAAAGGCAAAAATCTATCTTTGATTACACATTTAGTTAAAGAGCAACAACTACTGCAGAATCAAGAAGGACATATAAAATCCCATTACAGATTAATGATTTCAAAAACAAATTTGAAGCCTACCTTTCTGGATAAACTACATGTGTTGATGTTATTAAATATAACAACAGCTTGCCAACAAAAAAGTATAGAATTGTACAACAAATTATAATATTTAGAGTAATTTTACCAAAAGGAAAACTCTTCATCATGCTAATACAATAAACTAATAAGAACCAATCATCGATTACAATGACATTAAAGAATTTATTGTTGATTATGATTAAAACTACACTGAAATCAAAAAAACTCTCAACACTTAACCTTCTCTATCAGAAAGAAAATCTTCTAATTAAGGATTGAGAACTTACATTAAAAGTAACTATTAGGAAAATAAACGATTAAATCATTTGAATCTAATAGCTGAAGATTATAGATCGCAGATAAGAAATAATAATTTAGTTTCGAATCCAGATCAGTTGAGTAAAATATTATGTTATGGTAGTATTTAAGAATAAAATCAAAGCAAGGACTAAAAATATGGCATTAATTAGGTATTTACCAAGTTTGCATTTAGACCTAAATTTGACTCAGCACATATGCAATCTCAAATAAAATTGTTAAAGCTAGAAAATGGCACAAAATAACCAATCATAAATGTGTATTAGAAAGTAATCATATAAAAATACATAATACTAGTTATTTCGAACTGCATCCGATCATTTTATAGATGTTCTAAAAGAAAATTGTAATGTTTAAACATCTGATTTACATAAACTGGGAGAATTGGATTTTTATGAGTATTAAAATTTTTTTAATAAATATTAGGCTTGAATAAAGATAAAACCAATTATCAGAAAGGCTAACAAAAAGGTCAACATAATTTTATGGAAAGGAAAAAGGATTGAAACACAATAAAATTTGTCCATAAAATCAAATTGATGATTGTGTCTTAGATGAATCTATAATCTCAGAAACTGAAGGTTTTCTATATATTATTATTTACAAGCAAAATTAAATATCTTTTATGGTCACAGTAAAAATTTTTAGAAAAAAATGATGAATCGAAATGAAAACCCAAATAAAATTGTAAGTATAATTTCAAAAATTGATCAAATTAGAGAAAATATCTACAATGTCAATAAAAATAAATTATATTGTTAATGATTCTTAAAAGTTTTTATTTAATTAAAATAACTCTCCTTTATTATTTTTATTCATCTTAAGTAATTATTTAATATAGAAATGTAAATCTGTAATTTCGCTAAGAAATAATTCATATTACTGGAACATTTTAGATATTTATCTAATTGTAAATCAAGTTTGATTTTTTAATAATACCAATATAATTGAAAAAATGACAACTTTAAATTATCGAAAGTAATTTATGCTCATGATGCTTTTTAGTACGCTCATTGCTAACCTTAAAATTATCTCAAAGAGAATCATTTAATTAAAACTAGATTTCTCATTTCAACCTCTTGATTATTTTAGATTAAGTATTATTCCATTAGGCTATTTTCCGAATTAATTATAATATTTCTAATTTACTGATTCTTCAAAAGTTTTAATTTAATTTTATTCTTGGTTGATTCTATTTAGACTTATGTATATTTCGTTTAATGATTCCATTTTTAGGTTTTAACCATATTCTCATATGAAAAAATCTTGTTATTTTATATTTTGGATTGTATGATGTTAAACGAAAGTAACCATCAAATTCTTAGTCTAAGAAATAAATTTAAGTAAACTAAATAATTCCATATTATTGATTTGATTGCGTCTGAGGAGTTTAATTCATATTAAAAAAAAACTTCTTAGTTTTCTTGATAATTTTATTGAAAATTAAACTTTAATTTCATTTGGAATTAGCATTTAATGGTAAAGCAGAGTTGATCTAAGTTTGGTATTAATAAGGTACGAAAATTAAACTTTAATTATCAAAATATATTATAAAAATTGATTCAAATCAATAATTGTGAATACTGGTAATATAAAATTTATCAATAAGAATATTTAATGGTATTCTAAAAAGAAATACTTAGTCTTTTATAAATCGACCAAAAAGTCAAAATATATAAAATAAAAAATGAATAAATTTGAACTCTTCGTTAAAATTATAAAGTAATGATGTAAAGAATAAAGAATCATAGAGTAATTAATAAAAGTTTAGAAAAAATAAAACATTATTAAAAATGAATTTATTTTAATAATGTGTATATTTTAATAATTATGAATTTAAAGTTTTCAAAACTAAGTGGAGCGTTGATTCAATTTAGATATTATAGTCAGACACTTTCTTATCATCTTATAAATTTTATCCTGCAAAAATTAGACTATACTAATCGTGAAGGATTCCTTCCTTATTTGATATTTATTTCTTGATATCGTCGATTGTATCTGTGGATTGGATATCTAAAGTAATTGTTTTTCCAGTTAAAGTTTAAATAAAAATTTCCATTGTTCCTCCTCCACCAAATGGCCTTATTACAATTTTATGATTAAAAGGACTGTTGATTCATGTTATAAATTATAATCCAAAAGTGCTTTTAGATCATCTAATTCACGTCCAGAAAAAATAAATCTTTGTTAATCAAATGGAATTCCTTCCTTATCTTCAATTAAATGTTTTAGACAATCGACTGTATCAGTTGATTAAACATCAATAGTGTCTGATGGTCAACATCAAGAGTGAAGGTTTTTACATTCAAAGTCTGAACTAAAAGTTGTATGATTATTTAAATATCGATAATAATTAGAATATGATACGCTAATAGATCAAATCTGATGAATTAGGAAATAAGAATTATACAAAAAATTTAAAATATTTATTTTAGTGAAGCAAAGCTGATGGAGATAATTGCTTAAATTTTAAAAAATTAAAGAAAATTATGATATAAATAGGTAATTTCAAAATCAATTTGAATATACTATTATTGATAAATTCAAAAAATAAAATATGCTAACATAAGATATGA